GTTGACCAGGATGGTCTCGATCTCTTGACCTCGTGATCCACCCGCCTCGGCCTCCCAAAGTGCTGGGATTACAGGCTTGAGCCACCGCGCCCAGCGAGTTTGTAGTTCTAAAAGAGAACTTACTTCCACTTCAGGAAAGGAGAGGGAAGAGTGGGCGGACTTTGTCTTGCACCTTGGATACGAACTCAGCCACAGCAGAACAGGGTACTAGTCAGAGTTGTGAGGCCCCTTTTCAAAGCCCTGGCTCCTGAACAACATTTCTAGACACACATGGGTTCAGAAGGGAACCCACTACCTTGAAGGGAAGAACATAGCCCTTCCAGGAGTCATCACCTGCTAACTGAAGAGCCCTCGGGCCCTGAATAAGGAGCAGTGATACCCAGGCAGTATGTCGTGGTGGGACTCTGAGATGTTCTGGCTCCCGGTGGGACTCAGCACATTACCATCTGTGTGGCGTTGGGGCAAGACTCTTTCTGCTTGAGAAAAGCAGAAGCAAAAGTAAAGGGGACTTGATTTTGCACCTTAGGTACCAGCTTGGCCACAGGGGAATAGAGCACCAAGCAGGCTCTTGAGGTCCTCAGTTCAAGAACTTGGCTTTTGGATGGTGATATGGCTTGGATCTGTGTCCTTATCTTAATTTCATGTTCAGTTGTAATCACTAAAGTTGGAGTGGGGCCTGGTGAGAGGAGACTAGATCATGGGGGTGGTTTCTCATGAATAATTTAGCACCATCCCCCCTTGGTACCATGATCACAATAGTGAGTGAGTTCTCATGAGATCTGGTTATTTAAATGCATGTAGCACCTCCTTCGTCTCCCTCTTGCTGCTCTGGCCATGTGACATGCCTGCTCCCCCTTCATCTTCCACCATGACTCTTTCCTGAGGCCTCCCCAGAAGCTGAGCAGATGTCAGCATCGTGCTTCTTGTACAGCCTGTGGAACCCTGAGCCAATTGAACTTCTTTTTATTATACATTAATTAGTTTCAGATATTTCTTTATGGCAATGCAAGAACAGCCTAATACAGAAAATTGGTACTGAGGAGTGGGGCATTGCTGTAAAGATACCTGAAAATGTGAAGTGACTTTGAAACTGGAAAACAGGCAGAAGTTGGAAGAGTTTGTAGGGTTCAGAAGAAGATGGGAAGATAATGGAAAGTTTGGAATATCCTACAGATTGGTTAAATGGTTGTGACCAAAATGCTGATAGTGATAGGGACATGAAAGTCCAGATGTCAAGGTTTCAGATGGAAATGAGTAGCTTACTAAGAAATGGAGCAAAGGTCACTTTTGTTATGTCTTAGCAAAGAACTTGGCTGCTTTATGTATCTGCCTTAGAAATTTGTGGAGCTTTGAACTTGAGAATGATGATTTAGGGTATCGGTGGTAGAAATTTCTCAACAACAAAGCATTCAAGAAGTAAAGTGGTTGCTTCCAAAAACCTCTGCTCATATGTATGAGCAAAGAAATGATCTGAAGTTGGAACTTATATCTAAAGGGGATGCAGAGCATAAGAGCTTGGAAAATTTGCAGCCCAGTCATGTGGTAGAAGAGAAAAGCCCAAAAATGGGCTAGCCATATGCAGAAAACAGAAACTGGACCTCTTCTTTACACCTTGTAGAAAAATTAACTCAAGATGGATTAAAGACTTAAGTGTAAAACCCAAAACCATAAAAACCCTAGAAGAAAACCTAGGCAATACCATTTAGGATATAGGCATGGGCAAAGACTTCATGACTTAAACACCAAAAGCAATTGCAACAAAAGCCAAAATTGACAAACTGGATCTAATTAAATTAAACAGCTTCTGCACAGCAAAAGAAAGTATAATCAGAGGAAGCCTACAGAATGGGAGAAAATTTTTGCAATCTATCCATCTGACAAAGATCTAATATCCAGAATTTACAAGGAACGTAAACAAATTTACAAGAAAAAAACAACCCCAGGCCGGGCGCGGTGGCTCATGCCTGTAATCCCAGCACTTTGGGAGGCCGAGGCGGGTGGATCACGAGGTCAAGAGATCGAGACCATCCTGGTCAACA